GAGAGACCTTGGGGCCAGCCGGCACACGCGCTGTCTTCATGGTGGCTTGCCTGGGAGGGCAAGGTTTGCTGACTTCTTTATCTCAAGATTGGATCAGTTTGGAATTTGGTTTGCTATTACTGACTGTGCTCCTTCCCTGCCAGCTCTTTCTATATATATCATAGACTCTGCCTCAGTCCTCATGACCACTGTATGAGGTAGGTAGGAGTATTCCCATTCTTTAGGAAACTGAGGTTCCAAAAGCTAAGTGAATGGATGAACAAGTGGTAGGGTCAGGATTAGAATCCACGTTCACCTGAATCCAAAACCGGTGCATTTTCCACTAAGCATGTGGCTCATTTTCCTTACTGTCTCCTCACCTCTCCTGCTAGGCTTGATGGAGAAACACTTCGGGGAGCAAGCTTTTACCCCACTTTCTGCCGCACTGCCAAAGCTAGTGGAGTATGAATGTGGTACTGTCACCTCCAGTCAATGCACCCACTGTCTATAGACAAGTTCTGCCGGTGCATTGTTCTTCTAGTGGGCTCTGGAGGGCTCTGCCCACAACTTGTGAATCACAGGGAAGCTCAGGGAGACATTGGATTTCCTAAAGCACTCAGATGAGGTTCCAGGAAGTGACTAAGTCACACCTGCTGCTGGGGATCTTAGGGTGGTCACCAAAGTTCGAGCCCTTTGGAAGAGATCTCCCTGGCTGATATAAATAAATTCTCATAACTCATGCATGGAGGTCTTGTTGTTTGGTTTCCAACCAACAATAGGTTTTAAAGGTTTCCCTAAGAGAGTACCAGGCATTGAATCTAGTCTACAGATTAGACAAATTCAGCCATGAATAGGAATGGGGATACTCAAGGATCTACCCAGTGTCTGGAGGATTTGCTTGAGAGGCTCAATTATTTTTTAACAAAAGAGGCCAGTAGTATTTTTAAATATGTAGATCATGTTGAGGTTGTATATCAGTTAGGGTAAAGCTGGACTGCTACAACAAAGACACCCAACAATAACATGACTAAAGTTTATGTATTTCTCATGTAACAGTCCAGTAATTTCAATTGCAACAGTCCAGGGTAAGCTTTTGAGACTAGTGGGAGATTCAGCTCCATGTGGTCATTCAGGGATTAGGTTCCTTATTAGTCATTGTTCCACAATAATCCACAATTATTGTGATCTGCAAAATTTAAGCTGTGTTACTGCCAAGCCTGGGTTGTAGCCTGTAGGAAAGGTAAAGGGTGTGGAGGAAACATGGCTCTTCTTGCATCCTCACTTCCTTTCCTGTTCCACTAGAGATGAATCACATGTGCACATCTATCTGAAAGGGAGACTGGGAAATTAATGCACTTGGGCAGCCATTGTTTTACTGTTATGAAACAAGCGGAGCTTAGATTTTGTGGACAACTAGTAATGTTTGGTAGACAACTAGCAGCTGGGTGCATCTCATTGATCTAGCATGGCATAGAAGAGGAAGTGCTGGCTCTGGACCCTGAAGACTTGGGTTCAAATCCTTGCTCTACTATGTTAAACTGGGCAAACTGCCTCATCTCTCTGACCATGGCTTGCTTCAACTGCTGTGCCTTCCTTAAATAGCAATTGGGAGGATTGTAACACACAGGTGCTTGATTGTAACTTGATACCAGTTGCTTGTAACACAACAGGTGCTTGATTGTAACACAACAGGTCATGGTTGCAAGAAATGAAAACCAGCTTGAGTTAGCTTGAGAAAAGAGAGATTTAATTTGAGGTCCAAGTCATTTTAGATAACCCGAAGGCAGGAACTATAGATGGACCTTTGTAGGGAAGGACTGGAATTTGAAGACAAAAGGAGTAAAGAGGAGGGAATTTGAGGAGCCCTCAATCCGTTAGCAAAACCCGCTGGCACTAACTCCAAAATAAATCCTGACTGCGTCTATTTCTCTCGTGTACCTCCTTCCCTAGTCCAGGTCACCTTTGAGCCTTGTCTGGACTGATGAATGACTGGTCCCTCTGCCTTCATTCTTATGCTCTCAAATCCATCCTTTCACACAGAGCAAGAGTGAAGTTTAGAAACATTAATGAGATATGTCTCCTGTTTGAGACCTGTAGTGTCTTCCTACAGCATGTAGAATAAAACCCCAGCTCCTTACTCTGGTTTACCAAGCCCCATGCAATGTGACCTCTCCTCCCTGACTGCATCTGCCACTCTTCCCCTCTTCCACTTTGCTTTAGCCACGTGGTCCAGCTGTATATAGACATGTCATTTAAATCTTGCTCCTGCCTCAGGGCCTTGCATGACTATTTTCCCTTCCTGGAGAACTCTTAACACTTTGTGCTTTTAGTAATCCACACCTCAGTATAAAATCTTAGAATGACCTCTCTCTATCATGTCAGCCTACTTTAATTCTCTACACAGCCATTAACACAGTTTTATAGTTTTCTCACTAATATACTTATTTGTTGTTACCCAATTCCCAGACCCCATCGCCCCAGTAAATGCAATCTTTATAAAAGCGGGGAACTGCCTATCTTGATCTCTGGTGTATCCTGTTTGCTTGGGAATACTTTTTGAATGAACTGAGTTAATTAAAAAAATATATGTGACTTTACTGCTTGTAACCCTTTCAAAATTTAACTGTGTATTTTGAACTTCTTTCCACTTCAATGAATACACAATTACTATATGCTCACAGCATCCCGTTACCTAGAGATACCACAACCAATGTAAACAACTTCCTACTGTTGAATATTTAGTGAATATCCTTATATAGAGACATCTTTGCACATTCTTCATTATTTCCTAGAATACATTTATACATGTGAAATAATTGAGTTAAAGGATAGTCTGCTTCTGAGATTTGATATACAAAGCAAAACTGACTTCCAGGGAAACTGTGATTGTTTTTATGTTCTATGGGGCATGAGAGTGCCAGGTTCCCCAGGCCCTCAGAAAAGGACTATTATCGTTTTTTATTTTGCCAATTGGATGCACTAAAAATGTCATCTTGTATCAATCCATGTTTTAAAAAATTACCAATGGTGTTGAACATTTTTCTTCTATTTATTATATTTACTTCTTTTGTTCCTCTCCTTGACTCTTTTTTAAAAACAAGTGCATCATCTTCACACGTTATTCTTGGTTGAGGGTTTCCTCTTTCATCCTCAGAGACCCACATTCAGGTGGGAGAACATTTGCGAGAATGAGGGAAATTGATTCTTGCCATGCACTCTAAGCTCCCAAGAGGCCCTCTCCTTCCTCACCATTAGAATACAAATTGACTGCTGGGGAGTGAGGAACCTGTGTGAAGAAAAGTCAACAGTGACTAAGAGGCCGGGCTTTATACAATCCCAGTCACTGGTGCACCCCTCACAAAGGCTTCCAAACCCTTACAAATTGCTTCTGAATATCATTGGGGAATCTTCTGCTTGGCATACAATTTAGGCATCAGCACCTTTATCAGAATGAAGGTGTCCATTTCTCCATTCTGCAGAACTGCTCAGAGCTGATCGAAGCCAACCAATTACGTGGGTATTTATTGAGCACCCAAAGCATTGCAGACTAGTTGGGGAGATGCCTTCCTGGGTCTTTGAAGGACATCTGGAATGATTTAGGCCTCATCATAAGATATAAGCAAAAGCATTTCCTTCTACAGTTAACACTGGAGCAGGTCACATCACAGGGCCAGCCAAGCTTTGGGCCAAACCTCTAGCATCATGAAGATAGAACCAACAGCTTTGGACTTAGACTGAGTATGGAAATCCACATTTAGGAGGTGGTTAACAATGGTCAAACAGCAAAAACAATATTTTTGTTGTTAGTCTCCAATTTTTCTGCTTTTGTTTTTCAGGAAGGTGTGACTTGCAGAGGAGTTGATTCATTCTTATGTAGATTTACTGGAGAAGTTCACAGCAGGAGACTGGGGTCTGAGACACACTAATCTTTGGTGAGAGAAGATAGGGATGGAAGCTAGGTCCCCATATACGGCTATGGGAGGGGACTGATATCTACAATCCAGTGCTCTTAAACGGTGATCAGCTTTCCAGGAAGCTCTACATTGTCAATGAAAGGGCTGTTCTTTACACTTTACTCTGAGCGTTTTGTGTGTGTGTGTGTGCGTGTATGCACATGTACACAAGCATGCAGTCATGAGCAAGCACGACTATGTGCGTAAGTTCAGGTTTTCTTTCTGAAAAGAAATGATGAGGCCGGGTGCAGTGGCTCACGCCTGTAATCCCAGCACTTTGGGAAGCCGAGGCGGGCGGATCATGAGGTCAGGACATCAAGACCATCCTGACTAACACAGTGAAACCCCATCTCTACTAAAAATACAAAAAATTAGCCAGACGTGGTGGTAGGTGCCTGTAGTCCCAGCTACTCGGGAGGCTGAGGCAGGAGAATGGCGTGAACCCAGGAGGCAGAGCTTGCAGTGAGCGGAAATCATGCCACTGCACTCCAGCCTGGGCAACAGAGCCAGACTCCATCTCAAACAAAAAAAAAAAAAAAAGAAAGAAATGAAGGATGAAGGTGATAGTAGAAAGTTGTTGTAAAAATATCCCTTTTTTTTTTTTTTTTTTTTTTTGAGAAAAAGTCTTACACTGTGTCACCCAGGCTGGAGTGTGGTGGCACAATCTTGGCTCACCGCAACCTCTGCCTCTCAGATTCAAGTGATTCTTCTTCCTCAGCCTCCCAAGTAGCTGGGATTACAGGCACCCACCACCATGCCCAGCTAATTTTTTGTATGTTTAGTAGAGACGGGGTTTCACCCTGTTGGCCAGGCTGGTCTTGAACTCCTGATCTCAAGTGATCTCCCCACCTCAGCCTCCCAAAGTGCTGAGATTTCAGGCGTGAGCCACCATGCCCAGCTAAAAATATACTTTCTTGGCAAAGTAAAAAGCTTGCAAATGCATATTTGTCTTTCCAATTTTTTCCCTGTTATCTGTGAAATCATCTGATCATTAGATCTACTGCTTTAAAAGATAAGCTTTTCATGTAACTGTGATGTTCTGTTTTAATGGAAAATTGACTTTTGCAGTGTGCCCCAAAGAATAAAGCCCTCAAAGAATGTGAGGCCTGAACTCACTTCAAATGCTGGGAAGACCCTTTCCTTAGCTGAGCTGCGGAGGCACCAGGACTCCTGTGGCACTGCCCTAACGAGGAGGCAGTGCTGCCAAATTCAGGTGGGTGTCCCCTGGGGTGGGGCTGGCTGGACTGTGGACAGCAGGCACCATTCAGCCCACAGGAGAAGCTGCCTTGGTGCAGGGGAGGATCCTGTGATCCAGGGGCCTGAGCAGATTTGGAGGGAAAGCTGAAGAGGAAAAGAAAGGATGTAAACAAATTAAAAAGCAAAAAACAAATAACCCCATTATTTGTCCATTAGGCAAAGGACATGAACAGACACTTCTCAAAAGAAGACATACAGGTAGCCAACAAACATATGAAAAAATGCTCATCTCTAATCCTCAGAGAAATGCAAATCAAACCCACAATGAGATACCATCTTATGCCAGTCTGACTGGTTTTTGCTCAAAAGCCAAAAAGTAACGGATGTTGGCAAGGCTGTGGAGAAAACGGGACATTTATACACTGTTGGTGGGAGTGTAAATGAGTATTGCCATCGTGGAGAGCAGTTTGGAGATTTTTCAAAGAACTCAGTTGAGCTACTATTCAACCCAGCAATCCCATTGTGGGGTATAGATCCAAAGGTAAATAAATTGTTCTACCAAATGAACACATGCACCTGTATGTTCACTGTAGTGTGTCTCACAATCACAAAAGCATGGAATCAACATAGGTGCCCATCAGTAGTGGATTAGATAAAGAAAATATGGTACATATACACCATGGAATACTATAGTCATAAAAAAACAAAATCATAGGCCAGACTTGGTGGCTTGTACCTGTAATCTCAGCACTTTGGGAGACGGAGGCAGGCAGATTGCCTCAGGTCAGGAGTTCAAGACCAGCCTGACCAACATGGTGAAACCCTGTCTCTACTAAAAATACAAAATTAGCTGGGTGTGGTGGTGTGCGCCTGTAATCCCAGCTCCTTGGGAGGCTGAGGCGAGAGAATCTCTTGAACCCAGGAGGCAGAGGTTGCCGTGAGTCAAGATCGAGCCATTGCACTCCAGCCTGGGCGACAGAGAGAGACTCTGTCTCAAAAAACAACAAAAACCAAAAAGCAAAAAACAAAATCATGTCCCTTGCAGCAACATGGATGCAGCTGGAGGCCATTATCCTGTGCAAACTAACACAGGAACAGAAAGCCAAATACCACATGTTCTCAGTTATAAATGGGAGCGAAATATTGGGTATACGAAGACATAAAGTTGGGACCAAAAGACACTGTAGACTACTATATAGGGAAGGGATAGAGGGAGGCAAGGGTTGAAAAACTACCTATTGGGTACTATAGGTACCTGCGTGATGGGATCATTCATACCCAAACCTCAGCATCACACAAAATATCTCTGTAACAAACCTGCACATGTAACTCCTGATTCTAAAATATAAGTTCGAAAAGAAAAAAAATACCCCCTCAACTACCAGTTCATCCCTCTTCCTCCCTCCTTCCTGGCTTCCTCCGATTATATTCAGTTGAAAAATCAGTGGGTCTCCAGGGAAATTATTCAAGGGGCCAATGTATGCAGCCAAAGTTAAATAATCAGAGTCTAGACGTTGGGTTTTTAATTTAGGGAACTCAGAAATAAAGCAAAAAGATAAATAGAAGTAAAAGAAGTTTCACTATATTCCCTGGGGTTAAAAAAAAATGCATGGTAGGGAGCTCTGGGAGCCCTGAACTGAAAAACATACAGAATCAATTAAATGGATGCAGAGCGATGGCGGGTGATGGCTCCCCCTTGTCCCTTCCCTGTGTCATCATTCTCGCTGATTCTCAGGGCTGGAGACTTTAGAGGTATTATCAGGAGATAAGAGGCCAGTCTCATATTCCTGGGAGAAAAATCCCCGCCGATTTGCAGTAAGATCTTGGATTTGACCTATGACTTTTATGTCACAAAGGATCAGCGATTGCAGTTCGGGTAATAGAAGAGGCCAAGTCAGCTTTCTCTTTTTCCTCCCTCCGGCCCTCCCTCCCCTCCTCCAAAGGACAACCTCAATTTGTTTGGAATTATATTTAAGCAGCAACCTCGTGAAATACCTACCAGAGGCAAGGGTGGCATCTGCATTCCTTGTGTTTTCTGGTCGGACGCCCCCGCAGGCCGTCTAACTTTCGCAAAGGCGTGGCTGCGCGTTGCAGCGCGGTCTGCACTGAGAATCCAGGCTCCGCGTGTCTCACCTCGCGGTGACCGCGCTTGTTTTCGTGATGCTGGGGATGCGGGTGTTGTGCTCTTGGAGAGGGGAAGGGTTTGGGAAATGTAACTTACGAATCTTCTTAACGGCTGCCAACAAAACTCCGCTGCTGAGATGCAAGCACTGGACGAGGGGCTCCCGCCAGCTCCCCCGCAGAGCGCACGGCAGACCCGGGGGGGTCCGGGGCCCAGCAGTGCACTCACCCCGGAGGGCTCCAGTCACAACCCAGAGGGGTCGACCCTCTGGCCTGTGAGTTGCTGCGAGGCGGTGGGCTGGGGAGAGGGATTCTCGAGTTCAAAGGGAAGGCTTGCAACCACCTGTCGCTGGAGGAGGAACCGGTGGGGACGCCCGGGGAGGGGGGCGGGCTGGGCAGGAAGGGCAGGGGCGCTTCCCGAAGGAGAGCGGGCGGGAGACGGTTTCTGTAAAATAATACCAAGGGATCCGAGAGCCGGCACTTTAGAGCCGCCAGACCCCCTGTCCCTGGGAAGACCGACTAGCAGAAAGTCGCGGCCACTTCTAAAGGAGTCAACATTTTGCACGCTTTCACACTGGTTTTAGTACTTTTATGGTCTGATTGAAAAGCAGTCGTAAAAAAAAAAAAAAAAAACAAAAAACAAAAAAAAAAAAACCCTAAAATTGAAAATTTAGAAAATAGATTTGTGAAGTCTTACCAATGTACATACATACCACTGAAAAAGCGCGTTTAGGTGTGCGATTTGGTGTTTCATGCGCTTTGGAAAATGTTTGGTCTGCGTGTGGGTCGGGCGCGGGGGCGGGGGTCCCTAGACTCCCCGGTCCCTGGCCTACATATGGGAACTAATAAACTAGAAGTTTGAACAATCGGACTCCTCCCTCTATCTTATGTGAGGGAAACTTCTGAGCTTCCAAATCCATACATTCAGCCCAGATGCAATCGCTGTTTTGAATGCTGGTGTCCAGATGCCTGTGGGCTACATGGATGTCTTACAGGTAAAAATCACCATTTCTAGACTTCTTTCTCTGAGTTAGAGCTGGGAAGTTACTTTGGATGCCTCCCTCTTCCTCAGCAATGCTTCTTCCTGTCTCCTTAGTCACCACATTTGGCAGTTTCCTAAAGCATTTCTGGAACCCCACACCCCCACTCCTCTCTGGCCCTTCACTGTCATAGCCTGGCTCAGGCCCTCTGTGGCATTGTCAGGGGCTCAAACCACCTTCACTTGACCCCTGAAGCTCCCATGTGCCATACCATTCCCAAGCATAACACCTCTCGCCATAAGAAGATACTCAGTACCAGTAGTCACAAGGGAAATGCAAATCAAAATCACAAGATACCACTACTTACCTAAAGGAATGGCTAAAATAAGAAATAGCAACACCACCAAATTCTGGCAATCATGTGGAAAAAACGCATTACTCCTACGTTGCTGTTGGGAATGGGAAAACATACAGTCACTTTGGTTGTTTTTTTTTTTTTTTTTTTTTTTTTGAGATGGAGTCCCACTCTGTCACCCAGGCTGGAGTGCAGCAGTGCTATCTCAGTTCACTGCATCCTCTGCCTCCCGGGTTCAAGCAATTCTTGTATCTCAGCCTCCCTAGTAGCTGAGTCTACAGGCACCCACTACCACGCCCGTCTAATGTTTGTATTTTTAGTAGAGGCAGGGTTTTCATCATGTTGGCCAGGCTGGTCTTGAACTCCTGACCTCAAGTGATCTGCCTGCCTCAGCTTCCTAAAGTGCTGGGATTACAAGCATGAGCCACGGTGCCCAGCCCCAGGTACAGTCACTTTGGAAAACAGTTTGACAGTTTCTGTAAAAACTAACCAAGTTACCACACAACAGTCGCATTCCTGAGCATTTACCCCCAGAGAAAGAAAAACTATGTTCACACAAAAACCTGTACACAGATGTCTACAGCAGCTTTATTCATAATAGCCAAAATCTGTCCTTCACTGGCTCAGAGGCCCTTCGACAGGTGAATAGTTAAGCAAACTGTGCTACAACTATACCCTGGAATGCTACTCAGCAACAGGGAGTGGAGTATTGATACTTGCAACAGATTAGATGAATCTCCAAGAAATAATGTCGAGTATGACAAGCCAAACCCAAATGGTGTATATGATCGTATGATTCCATTTATATAGCATTCTTGAAATGACAACATTTTGTAAATGGAGAACAGATTAGTGGTTGCAGGGATTTGGCGTGAGGGTCAGGGTGCAGGGAAGTTTGTGTGGTTATAACAGGAGAGAGCCTTGTGGGTTGTTGAATAACAGTTGACTGTGATGATGGATACACGAGCCTACAGAGGTGACAAAATTGTATAGACTTGATACACTAACAGCAATGAGTACTAGTAAAACTGGGAATCTGAATAAGATGGGAATGGACTGTATTAGTATTAATACCCTGATTGTGATGTTGGACTATAGTTTTGCAAAAATATTACCATTTGGGAAAACTGAGTAAAGTATACAAGATATTTCTCTATTATTTCTAATAACTGTATGTGAATTGACGCTTATTTCAATTTTTAAAGTTTGTTAAAGATTTTTAAAATTTATTTCCATTTTTGTTATTGTGGTAAATATCCATAACATGAAATTTACCATCTTAATCATTTTTAAGTATACATTTCTGTGACATTAAGTACGTTCACATCATTGTGCATCCATCACTACCGTGTATCTCCAGAACATTTTCGCCTTCTACAACTGAAACTCTGCACACATTAAACTCAAATTTTCCATTCTCTCCTGCTTCCATAATTTTGTTTTAAACTGCAAGAAAACTCCTAAACTCAAACTCCTCCTGGGCACCTCATCACCTACAGGGGAAACTCTCAGTGCCCTTGGGTGCCCTGGCCCTGGCATTACCCACCTGCTGGTGTTCCT